GCCACAGGTCTGAGGGGATGTGTGAAAAAATAGACTGGCTGATTAGTCTGCAATAAAGAGAGGGATATGAAGTAAACAGTGAAATAAAACACAGAGACACACACAAAGCCAGAACATAAAGAAATCTCTGCAGAGAGATTCAAGCGCACATAAAGACATCACATGGCAGACAATTTGCTAACGAGTATCAGGATTCTGCTGCTTTATTCCCTCAAAAAATGTGATTTTGTTGAAAAATACAGCTTCAGACAGGATTAAAGGGATACTTCAGGCACCAGAACCACTACAGCTTAATGTAGTGCTTCTGGTGTCTAGTGCCTGTCCCTGCAAATCGAGCAGAGTAAATACTGCCTTTTCTGAGAAAAGGCATCTTAACATTGTTGCCTAAGTCCACTTCTGATGACAGTCACTTTGACAGTCGCTAAAGGGACTTCCTGCAAAGATTGCATATAGACTCTGAACAATAGTAGAAATGCATTGAATCAACCAGGAGACGCTGATTGGCGCAACATGGCGATTTATATTTTTATGCATAGACACTAGCCTCCCAATGCTTGCCTAAGGATGCTATCATTTTAGGCAGCAACATGATACTTTATAAATTTCAGTTTTTTCAAAATGCCCGTCAATAGCTTTCCTTGTGTATGCACTGTAAAAAGGGCACGTAATGATTACATAAACAAACAGATGATAATTATTGGGTTTGGTTGCTAACGATAGCAGTGCAGATATTTTTTGATGCCATGGCTACATTGTTTCACAGGACCTGCAACTTAGCCTCTTGTGACTTCACATCAATAAAGAGACACTGTGGTGTTATTATTGTGGTAGGAGGGATGGGGAGGGGGAGTTTGCAAGAGAACTACAATAGGACGTAATAACACCAGTCTAAAAATGTGACTAATTTCCAGGTTACCAGTAATGCAAAGGCTGGTCAACTTAAGCAGCTTTAATGATGCAACATTAATGCAGAGCAACTCATTCTAATGCAGTGAGCCTTTGAAGCAACATTCTCAGACGCAACCTGTTCATAATGTCGTCTCTGCAGGATATGTGTCATGTGTAGCGCCAGATGCCCTGATCTGCATAATTTGCCCCTGATTTGTGCTTATGCTTTCTGGGTGAAGTCTACTTATTGTTCCTCTTGACACTCGGACCCTTACATTATGACCTTAACTTGCCGTCTTTGACAACATTTGCACATGACTGTGTCCTTTTGTCTGTCTTGACTGATCCTCATCTACCAGTCCGGATCTGGCACAATATTTGGTGCTCAGCCCTTGGAAGCTCTTGCATATCTTAACATCACACTGATTTTCTTGCAGCCACAAACAACTATAACTCGCCTCACATTAGACAAGTTGACTGCGTCTATAAAGTGGTGACACAGCCAGTGATTTATTCACCAAATCAGGATCTGAAAACAAAGCTGGACAAATGCAATACAAGTGCACTCGGGACTTGCTTCTGTATAAGCCCTGAACTTAATTAACCATGATGATAACTTCTGCTTAATCTGATTAATAAAGAGGATGGCTCATACTAAGTTTATAGTAGCAAAAACATATAACAAAAAAAACGTGTTATGTAAACCCTGCATGTGATCCAAAAAGATATGAACCATGGGTCAAAGGTTTAGCAAGAAAACATATACATACCAGTCAACATTGACCTCCTGTAAAGTGGACGGTCCAATGATTCAAATCACCCAAAGGGGCAGAACTGCCCAAAAAAAGACCTCTCAAAAATAGGCATGTATGCTAATGTTAATCGTGTAGGCCAGTCCCATGAATGGGGGCCCATTCTTAAAGTGCTGTTAAAGTGCTCTCTGCATGATCCTAGTGCCTTTAGCATAGTGAGCATGGCTAATGATGTGCTCAAACTTTGATTACTAAGGACAGTTCCCTTGTAGCCCTGAATGAAAGAAATTTGGGAACAAACAGCGGAACAGTACCCTGAAATAGAGACTGTCCTGCTAAAATCGGGACATTTCAGAGGCAGGCATATGTGAAAATCTATAACATGGATTTTCAAGTGGCTGACTAAGGCTTTGAGGCTTGTGAGGGCTTTAAAACCTAAAAAAAAACAATTTCAATCTCTAAATTAAAGATGAGTACATAGCTAGAAACCCAAAAGATGATTCTGATGGCCATAAAAGTCGCATAAGGGCACTTTCACACTATACACATAGGTGCTAGATTTATAGTGTGATCTAAAAATAAGTAGTGGTCACAACAATAACATGATGGGGAGGAGGTGCAAGAAATCTGAAGACCTCGAGAGCTGGTGCCTGCTGACACGCCAGTTTATTTCCATCATTAATCACCTGGAGGACACACCGCTGGACAGATCACATAAGTTGCTTATACTTAAAATAACCAGTCAGCTCCCACATGAGACTTATTTTGTATACACAAATGAAAAATGAAGGTCTAGCATTACTAATGTGAGCGTTCCATATTGTTTAAGGCAAAAGTACAAAAATAGTCAAAGTTTTGGCAAAACCCAACAATTTGGTCATGTCACTCTGCACAAACAAAATATATAGTGCATTAATTAGAACAATTTAAAATGAGAGTGTGTCCACCAAGTCAGTCAAAAGAGATGTGTCCACCAACTTCCACATGACCAACATGATCACATAACTTATCACATGACCAGATATATCATATGATTGCAGATACTTCTCAACATTCATTTTAATTCAGCTTATTGCTTACTCTATTGCCACTGTGGTCTGTGCAATATGTAATACATTTATCTAAAAGCGCATACCATTATGTGCAAATCTTAAAAATTACCAAACACCATCTAAAACAATAGGAAAAATTATTGAAAAAGATGCCAGCTAGGATTGTTTGGAGAAAACCCTCACTTAGTAGAGGTGCCCATAACAATATCTTTCTCACCAGCAGAGGCGCCACAATACAGGCAGCCTGATTTTCAATGGATGGTCTTTATATACACTGTCTGTAAGGAAAGATTTTTTTTTTTTAACTTACATAATAATAATGGCAGTTCACACTCTCTTCATCACAAGTGCTTCCTGACTGTACAAAAAAAAAAGTTAGGGACACTATAGTCACCAAAACAACTTCACCTTAATTAAGCAGTTTTGGTGAATAGATCATGCCCCATGCAGTCTCACAGCACAGTTCTCTGCCATTTAGGAGTTAAATCACTTGTTTATGCAACCCTAGTCACACATCCCTGTTTGGGACTCATGCCGCCTTAATAAACACTTCCTGTAAAGAGTCATTTAATGTTTACACTTTATTGTAAATTCTGTCTGTTTAATTTAAGATGTATTATCTCCTGCTCTGTTAATAGCTTGCTAGACCCTGCAGGACCCTGTATGTGATTAAAGTTGAGTTTACAGAGCAGGAGATAGAAACTATTAAAGTAAATTACATCTCATTGAAAATAAAACCATTTTTCTTTTTCAAGCAGTCTGCGTTAGTCAAAAGCCTGTGGAGGCGTGGCTAGGGCTGCATAAACAAAAACCAAAGTGATTTAACTCCTAAATGGCAGAGAATTGAGCAGTGAAACGTCAGAGACATGATATATACATAAAAACAGCTTAATTAAGCTAAAGTTGTTTTGGTGACTATGGTGTGCCTTTAATCCAAAATAATTCACATTGATTTATTTTTGTTGTCCTTATCTCCTTTACACGTGCAACTTAATAATTCCCAGTTGAGGTTACAAGTAATAGAAGGGATCCCTCCACCCAGAAAAGTGGAGATAGGGTCAACATTTTACACCAATGTGAATTATTGGATTAAGGAAACAGTAACCTTTTGGGATGAATAGAGAGTATCTTTGACCATTTTTATAACTGAAGTACTAAAAATGTTCTCTTACCCTCTCAGCTCATGATTGTCATGATTGTGTATATTACTTTGTATACATGATCAGTCCATTAAAGAAAACTTTAGAAATAAGACCAACACATAATAATTGGATGGTTACATAAGTCTCAATTTTATATTATCAGTACTCTTGAAAAACTAGCCTGTGACCCATACGCAAATTATCACACTCTATAATACATGTCTATGTGTCCAATATGCTCAGCATGTCTCTCATTTTGCTTAGTCACTTTGACATATTAGTCTTGCAGGTTTAATATACACTAAAAAGAAGACTGTTCCATCAGGAGTACAAGTCCCTATTGTGTTCGACAACTACTCATATGCTCTACTTGCTGTTCTCTTTTCGGTAATGTTTTACCCAATGTCAAGCCTGGTTATTATAAAAATTGTGCAGTTTTATTCTATGCAATATTTCTGTTAACCAAGAGCTGACGGTACCTGCTATTGTGGCATTACCAGCATGTTTGTATTCTTTATGCACACAAAAATTAAAAATTTAAAATAAATTTTATATTATCAGCAAAACCTAGTTGAAAATGATTGACTGGATTCTGTAGATATTTTTTATCATATTTTGACTGGATTTAATGACAGACGAAGTTCTAACAGCTAAACCTGATAAAGGGGTTCCCTCCTCACAAGAGGACCTTGTACAGCAAGCAAGGGCCAAATAAACAAGGTTTAAGTTTTTGTGGGCAGCAAAAATAAAATAAAAAATTAAATAATTTTCATAAAAACGTAGGTTTATTTTAAAGAGTACAGTATTAAAAAACAAAACAAAATAGGGGGCGGGGCTTGACCTGCAAACTGAGTAGTCGCATGGCAGAGGAACTCCCAAAACCATCGCTGAATTCAGGGAAATTCCCACGGATCTGATGGATACATTGATGCCGGGATACGCTGCCAGGTCAGGGGCACCCTGGCGAATCGACTGATACTGGACACCGGTATTTCCTGCAAGCGTGTAACGGAGGTGGCCCGCTGCGGCCTACAGTGGATGGGGATAGGGGAGACGGCTCTCTACGCCGGGGGCACTGAGCAACTGTTTGCCCGCTCCCCCCCTTGGGACCGGTGGGGGTGATCCTGGTCCAACTCTGCCAGGCACAAGAGCCACGGCTGACACGGATGGCGAAGCCCAACAAGCAACTCCCATCTCCACAGGCCAACACAATGGCGGACGCCACGCGTGACTATGAAGGCTGCGGAGGGGGGACCGACACACTGACAGGGCTGAATGCAATCTTCGACGCCATCTGGGCGAAACTAGAAGCCAGAGAGAGGCAGGCTAAAGCACAAAGGAACCTATACAGGGAAAGTCCCACAAGTCTCCGCCACAGCCGAGCTAAACTTCGCTCAACAGACAGCAAACAAAGATGGCGCCGAAGACAGAGACATCTCCCGCCTGCCCGCAAGCGCTTATACCGAGCGGCAATACCACCACGAGAAGACCTGCTTGGTGCCTCTGCCGTAATGAACCCTGGCTAGTCCCTTGTGCAGCCCTCTCAGCCGAGATAGCTGTTCAACACTGAACTCTAATGTTTTGTACTGCTCAAACGTTTATGCCAGGTGCATATATTACTGATATCTGCATGATATTACTATGTCTTCTTACAGCTGTGTTTCTAGAAAGCCTCCTACTGGCCACTTTCATGCCAAATAGCCTGTGTGTCTGGCAACCTACCATATTTGTATGTAGCCATGCATGTCCTATTAATTCACCATGTCCACTTACTCCTCTGTAATAACAAACCATAGGACAGGCAGAGAAAGTGTGTAAACCAACAACTTACCTACAAGCTAAGTCATAAGCCTGCTAACAAACATGTTCCACTTAAACTTTCACACTAAGCACAACTGTCAAGCTAAGTGCTAAGCATGACCATTATATAAAAAAATGTGCATTTCTCTAATATGCCATGACAATGAATAATTGTATTGACTATGTCGGTTGTTTTGCTGTTGTGGCAATGCAGACCAGCTTGTAACCCTCTGCACAAAAAATAAAGAATTCAAAAAATCTATATATATATATATGACGCAATATGCAACTGGTGTACGCAACGCATCTGCTTATTAGGTATAATTTAAACAATTACTTACTATACTTTAATAATGCTTGGAAAATGTGAATATATTCATGTTTAAAATTGATTTTGAAAGCTTGTGACACAAAGTGCTACAGAAAATGTTGGCGCTACATAAATCCTATTAGTAATCATAATAATAATTTATCTCTTAGAGAAATATGTGTAATTTATAACTAAGTTTTAAATTGGTATTTACTAGTAAAATTTAGAAGGTAATTTCTGGGTGCACACCCTCATGAAATCTATTGCAAACGATTATACACACCCTGTGATGAATAGGCCACAGATGCTTTTACATGTTTGCACATATTAGTCTATGTTCTACATTGAGTTCCCTGTGTTATGTTGATTTAAAGGGACACTATAGGCACCCAGACCAATTCATCTAATTGAAGTGGTGATCTGGGTGTAGTGCCTCTGTCACCTTAACCCAGCAATTTAAAACATTGCAGTTTTAGAGAAATTAAATGTTTACATTTCAGGGTTAAGACAGCGTCTAGTGGCTGTCTTCCAGACAGTCATTAGAGTCTCTTCCTTGATTCACACAGAGTTTAACACTTGATGTCCTCACACTTTGCCTCCTTACATTCCCCAATCACCATGACGGAGGAGAAAAATTCAAAGCCGAGGAACCTTGGCAATGGAATCAGGAAAGTGAAAAAAAAGTGTTTTAACCTTTTCATGACAGGTGGGGGTGCATAAATAGAAAGACATTATAGTTAGGAATACAGTTTTGTATTCTTAACACTAAAGTTTTCCTTTAATACTTTACTGGAGGATTAAGTCCACATTTTCTGCACTTTCAGGTTATTCAGAGGGTTTTCTATATAGCTTGCATGCAGCAATAAATTTATCTTCTTTTATTTTGATTTGGTATTTTATGCAGGGATTATAATTTTGATATTTCAGTTTTTTGTAATTCATAAATGGGGTGTTTCCTTGAATCACAGCTTGACAAACAAAATTTTCAGTCTGGATAGGCTTAATATGTTTTTCAAAATCAAAATCATTTATATCCCATGCTTTAAAGTCTGCCTTGTGATGGAATGATATTTTTTGTAAACATATTTGTCATATTTTGTACTATTCGATCTCATATTTTGTTTTCCATTATGTTTTATACTACACCGAATGGAATCATTCACTTCTATAAATGTGTTTCACTAAAGCTCACCCTTTTGATGAATGTGTTGAAAGTGTTAAATATTTCTGAAAATAAATTTCCAGGCATTACAGTTTCACTGTCATTCCTCAATTGGAAATGTTCTTTTGAAAAGCGAAGTTGACACTTTTGACACTCCCCAAAATGCGTGCTTGCTTGTGTGCCCTTAGTCCCCCTTTTAGCTTTCTAACCCATCCCTTTTCCCCTTTTAGATATCTTACCCCCTCTTTGTGTCTCTTTTCCTGCTTGCATATTGAATCCCATGTTTGTTATTCTTATCCTTTTTTTTTTAAGTCTTTGTCCCCATTTTGTGGTCTCTTACCCCCTCTTCTGTCTTTTAACCCCCTCTTGAATGTCTTACCCTTTTACTGTTTCTTATCTCCTTTCTACCCTTTTTGTGTCTTTTACAATTCCTTTTGTGTCTCTTACCCACCTTTGTGCATCTCTTAGCCCACTGTGTCATTGACCTCTACCTGCTCTGACAGAAAGCTACTCGCTGCTCATTCTCCGTCCCTTCCAGGGACAGCATGCAGCTTTATCCTCTACCTGTCAGTCCAGGTAGAACGATAAAGATCTTTTAACTTGGTCCACGAGGCCACGCTAAAGAGAGTGACCGATGAGAGGTGGAAGCCCTGTGCACCTTTCTCCCATCTGTCACTCAGACAATTTTCCACCTGGACCAGTATGCCCACATGTGTCACCTTATGGTAGTGCCAGTCCTGAAGGGAACCAAAACCTGGCTTTCCTATTAACATTTCCCATATTCAATATAGGCTAAATAGATACATCTTGGAATAATCCAACCTCCCTGCCTGTGGTGGTGGAGTTGAGGTGTGTTGTTTTGGTTATCTTAACTTTCTTTCTCTTTCTATACAGCCATTTTGTCTTTCAGATGTGCCCTGACTTTTACATGCTGCTGTGTTCATACATCTCTGCTAAATTTCAACACTTTGATTGCATAATCTTGATTGTTTAAGGTAAGGTATAGGGCTTCTTTTCACCTGATAGTGCTATCAGAATGTTTAGATTGTCATCACTTCAGCATCATTAATGACTCCTGGTAACCATTAATGTGTCAATAATTATCAAACAACAGATTGCATTACCTTTATTATTTTAAAGGTAACTATTTTATAAGCACCCATCCTTTACCTAAACTTTCCAGTCAAATGGATTTCATTTTTTAATTATTAATGCAGTTTTCTGGTTTGGTAGCTCTATTGTGTTTAATATAAAGCTTTTCTCACGTTTTATTCATTTTTCAAAAAACTATTTTATTTGCTAAGGCTTTTTTCACCTCTCTTCAAACTTGAGAAATTCATAGCATGAGAAGGGGCCACATCCTAAATTCAATCAAATTACACTAGCTAGGTTGGAGCGTAGTAGATTGCTTCTATTCCTGTCACGGGTGTCATTGCCCTAACACATACGAAAGAGGATACCCACAAAATGAGGGTCCAAATAGCCGTATTACCGGGCATTAGAGTGGCCAGACTTAACATATTAAAAGATAGAATCAAAGTTTGGAATGATCGAGGTCAGGAATACAGCAATACAGAAAGAAACACAAAAAACAAGCCTGGTCAGGATAACAGACATACACGAGTCAATATACAAGCTAGGTCAGGATACCAGAAGTTCTCAAAGTCAAAATGAAGCCAAGGTCAATAACAGGAAATGACAAAAGAGTCGCTTGAAGCACTAAATGTGTAACTAAACCAAAACCACGATAGGGCAATGAGTAAGGGCCTAAACAGGCTTTATATAGGTTAACAAGTTTTCTGATTGGTCCAAGCGTGACATCACAAAATCATAATAAGGACGCGCCCTTGAAGCAGGCAGCATCTGAAGCAGGTTTCCAGACGCATCACCGCATGGATCGATCAGGATGCACAGCGAGAGAGGAGATGCTCGGCATGTTGCAGGTAAGTATCGCTACAATTCCCAAGACTTTTACCAGGCATGTCATTTATTGAGAGTGGTATATTTGATTTTATCAAGTGTTGACCAGAACTTCATCATCCTCCCTTTATAATGTACCTTCTTACCAAAGCTGGTCTTTGGTCAGATACTATCTACTCTTGGTTCCTTGTTTTCATTTAGTCTTTTTTCCTATTTTCTCTTTCCTTTGTATGTTATTTGTTTTATGTCCTTATTTTCTTTGTCTATAACCCACTTCCCTTCCTTATAATACAATTGTATTTATTTAAATTCTCTCCTATTATTCTTGTATTTAATTTGTGCATATTTGCTTGTTTTGTAAAAATGTTTGACATATTTGTATGATTGAACTGACAGCCTTTTAATTTCTGTACTATTTTATTTTTACCATTTCTCATTCTTTTTTTCTGTATCCCATTGCTGACAATTAGAAAAAGAAATATGTTTACAAAAATATAATAGATTTTTTAACCAAAAATAATTGTTCAACGTGGTATGTCTCTGCTAACGTTTCATAAAAATACTTTTTGGCATCCAGATTTTACACGGGCTGGACCTTATATGAATATTGGATACCTAAGTGGGTGGTAAACTCTATTTCTTAATTTTATGGATCAGTGACACAATTGAGTTACCATATTTTTGACAAGAGAGATCTGACAAAGTGTACCTTGGGTAATCTCTGCAAAAGAGGTGGCAGATTAAAGCGGCACTGTCATGCCGAACTTACCTTTCCTCAATCTCTTCCTCTTCTCCCCCTCTCTCAGGATCTGTTATTCTTTTCTTCCTGTCTTCTTTAGTTTTCTTTAAAATCATAAGACAAAGTAGGGACTCTTTGCCTTATGGAGGATTCCTCCGCTTGACCAGCTCTGACCAGCGGAGGAGCAAAGTGTGCTTCATTTCCGCTGGTCAGAGCAATTTTCCCATGATCCCTAGCTTTCCTCAGTGTTCCCACAATGCTTCCTGTCACTTTACACTAAACTGCCGAATTGCGTTCTAACTGAATGACAACAGTCTCTTCGTTTCTTTTAGAACGCAATTCGGCACTTTATTCGGATCAGAATTTCATTCTAATGAATGAAACTCTGATCCTATTCATTGCTGTGGCTGCATCTTGCAGCCGTTTAGTAGATAACTCCCTAATTCCCATGGTATCAGGGAGCTATCTACTAAAAGGCTGAAAGACCTAAATTGGTCTAACAGCCAACTTTACTAATACTAAGTAAAGATTACTTAGTATTAGTAACTTAAATGCCCCTACTCGCTATACCGCGAGTAGGGGCATGTGTAGTAAG